ACAGAAGGAAAATGGGTCTCCCTCCCTGTGGGTTTCCCTAGTTCTCCCCAAGGTTTCTCACTTTTTCCCACTGGGTTTTTTAAGAGTTGTTCCTTGTGGATGCAGGAGGGTCTTGTTGGACAGTTAGTGTCCAACAGAAAGGATTGGTGATGATCAGGACACTTTAGCATTCTACAACATGTATGGACATTTTCTTCTGTGTGTGCTTTATATTCTCCATGTGTTTTAACTGTTGATTCTCTGACCTGTGTTGGTGATTTCAATGGTTTTGTTAAGTCTCTGAGATGACTTCTGTTGTGACCTAGGGCTATACAAGAATAAATTGTATTGTATTGTATCTCAGTACTACCATCCCCAGTGCCTAGTTCTTCCAATGAACCTGAATCCTCCTTCCTATCTGATGGTTCCGCGGACACAGATATACTGACGAGCGAGGCTTCAACCTCAGTGTCAATCAGTGACTCTTTGAGCCTAAAGTCATCTTGGCCTACTGTTTTTCATGTCCCCAAGTTCTCTTTTGATTCTGAACTTAAACTTGAGCGGGCAGGTGTAGAGTATGGTCAAAAAGGCACAACACTTATTCCAGATCCCAAGTTGAAGACTGCATCCTTGATGGTTTAGTGCAGGAAATAGTGCAGTTTAAAGTCTGTGAGTGATAAGGAAATGGAACAGGTACATTGTTGTTATATTTCACAAATAATAATTGAGTAATGTCAACACATAATTGTTACATAAACTTAATGGGCTAATAATACATAGAGGCAAAATGATTTTTTCACCATTCATGATGTGAATGAGTCATTTTGGTTTGACGTATTCAGATGACGTGGGACCGATGTACGCATTAAAATCATGTAAATTCAACACGATTTTTTTTTTCAGTGATCAGTGGGCTCGTACAGGGTGGTATAGGAGACTGAAATACAAGACCACGGCTACGCCCAGTTGATTCTTTCCTCCACCGCGCAAACAAGTAGTAGTAGTAGTAGTAATCTTTATTTATATACCGCCTTTTCACTGCACATCGGAGTCTCAAAGCGGTTTACAATTGTTTTATTTATTTTATTTTTTTGGGAGCGGGGTCGCCAGTACAGGAGGCACATGCCAGAACTATTGGACATATTTTTAGTGGTAGGGGAAACCGGAGCACCCGGAGGAAACCTATGCAGACACGGGGAGAACATGCAAACTCCACTCAGAAAGGCCCTGGTCCGACCGGGATTCAAACCCAGGACCTTCTTGCTGAGAGGCGAGAGTGCTATCCACTCAGCCACCGTGAAAGTGTCGTATAATCCCGCAAGCAATGAAGAAAACACATTTACCAGCGGAGATATGGACCAGCGGAGATATGGACCAGCGGAGATATGGACCAGCGGAGATATGGTGTCAGGACAAGTGGAGCTGGAGTTGGTGAAAGAGTAGACCCTGTCCATAAAGACCACCGTAGTGTACCACTCCAAGAACAAGTATTTCAGCATCAAGCATCACTTCTTCACAGACAAAAGACAAGTCAGGTAACGCCCGTTAAAGCTCGGGGACATAACTTTTTTCATCATAAAAATGTACTACAGAAAATAGTAAAATTACAATGTTGTGCACAAATCAGACCACATCAAGCTGTGTTCAACTTATTAAAAAAACATGTTATACTTTGCATACTTAAGTAACAAAAAGCCACAATTTGACGCTTTGGGCTTAGAGCCAAGTTTCATGCATTTATAAACTAGTGATAGAACCAAACCAATGTGGAGCCAATTTAATATAACGGTTTTTAAATGCTTAGCCCCAATTTATTGCAGTTTGGAAGGCACCCCAGCTTTTCCTAATACTTTTTTAAATTTATAACACATGTTTTGGTTCCAACTGAAAGTCCCAACAAATCAGACTGTGTTTATTATATTATTAGCATATATTTTTTAATCCTTTGTATCCTTGAAAGAATGAGCCCTATGTCACACATTTCTGCTGATCTAAAAAATGGGCTATAACGAGTTGATTGATGGCAGTTGTCAAATAATTTAATTGTTTTGTTTTTTTGTGAAGAGGTTTTAGAAGAATGATATGATGATTGCTGAATGAAATTAAAAATCTTTTGTTTACAAAGTATTTGAATCAACTCAAAGTCGTCTCCTTTAATATGTTCTCAGGAGCATCACAAACAATTCCATTTTCACTGAGCTTTTGGGAAACAAACACCTCATTGATTAGGTGGAAGAAGTCATCATTCTGAGCGACCTACATGGATATAATAAAAAGTAAACTAAATTGTGCTTTGAAAGTAGGGTTACCCAGCTTCATCCTAATTTAAGCATTTTTTGTGTCTTTTTTTTCTTTCTTTTTGGTGGGGTACAGTTAGGTGCTCAAAAATAAAGCATGCATAAATTAAATAGCTGTATATTGTATTGGAAGTGCATACACATTAAACTGAGATGGGTTTATTAATTTTTTTACATTACCGCTCTGGATAAAATGTTACAATATTACAATGCGTGAGTTTTAGACATATCACCTCACCTTGAAAATGAATGCAAACTCAAACAAGAGAGTTGGCCCATTTAGACCATTTTATTTATTTATTTGATAAAGGGGGAACAATACATATTATTGAACATTTTTACAAATGTAAATATGCCAGATTATAGCCTTAGGCTAATTTCCATCTGCAGACCCCTTGGCAGGTTGGTGTTACACACAAGTTAGTAAAAACAAACAGAGACACAATTTATATACAGAGAGACAGGGACAGTGATCACATGTTAGAACAACCAGCAAGAGTGGACAGTAAAGCACAATGTAGAAAACAGTAACAGAAACACATCATCTGTATTGCACAAACCCGAGTATTGCACATGCCCTGACTGACCTGATATTACACAGACCCATATTGCACCACTCTATATTGCACTGATCCATATTGCACCACTCTATATTGCACTGACCCGTATTGCACCACTCTATATTGCACTGACCCATATTGCACCACTCTATATTGCACTGACCCATATTGCACCACTCTATATTGCACTGACCCATATTGCACCACTCTATATTGCACTGACCCGTATTGCACTAACCCGTATTGCACCACTCTATATTGCACTGACCCGTATTGCACCACTCTATATTGCACTAGCCCTCATTACACTAACCCGTGTTGGACCACTCCTTATTGCACTGACCCACCTTGTATGGACCTGTATTGCACAGCCCACTGATGACCGTTTCCCGCACTGCACCAGCTCTATCTAAACATGGTCACATGTTTGAGTGTCCCTCAGACATATTTTTAAATGACTCCTGAAGGCAGACTGGTTCTTTCCCTCACTGACACCGGAACACTGTTCCAGAAGCTCACTCCCTGATATGACAGGACGTTCTGTGAGAAAGCGGTCCTCCTAAATGTCAGTTCACAGTCGCCTCTCGCAGTGGTTCGAGTCACTCGAGAACTGGCAGTACTACTAGACTTTGGTTTAATAAAATCGCTCATTGGTGGAGGCGCTAGACCATGTATAACCTTATAGATTAGGCATGCTGATTTAAACAATTTGAAATTGTCAAATTTTTATAATTTATATTTGTCTAAGTGTCAAGAAATGTTATGTGTATTATCATATTAATAAATGTGTGTAGATTAGTAGGGTCTAGTCTAGTTAACCAACTCATGCATTGAGGGTGGCGAGAATGCAGAATTCTCCCAGCCCCGAGGCAAGAGTAAACAAGAGCAGAGTAAACAAAACAAGCATGAAGCCAGAAGACATCTGGGTTGTGACAAGAAGACACTTCTCCTGACAGATGAGAGGAGATTGGTTTTCTCACCTAGAGTTCGATAGGTCGTATTGTCACCATATTGTCACATGTGTGTTTTAGAACTTTGGTATAAGAAGGCAGGCCTAACTATCAGCGTGGTCTTTGTGCTTTGCTTCTCGTCCGCACAGACCCAGGCTCTTCTCTCTGCCTGTCTTTTATATGTATTCTGTTTTATATATTAAACCTTCTTTTATATCTATCTAAGTTTGTAATTCCCTTCCTTTCATCGGACGACTGTTTAAGGAAACCTGGTGAACCAGCATTAACACTAAGATTTGACAATGGTGGTATGACGAAGGTTTCTTGTCTAATATTTTCAAAGCTCTTTTGTAACATACTTCGATTGGCCCAATGGCAGCATGACTCTATAAGACCAGCCTGTGATACAGTACTCAGTATGAGCCAGTATCGTAGAGTGCATGAATGTAAATGCTGCTGTATCCGTTAATGATGTTCGGATATGTCTGAAGTTCCGTAAATTAACATTTACAGTTTTCATTATTTTTTTCACGTGATTTTTGAAGGATAATTTCGAGTCTATTAGCACTCCCAAATACTTAAATTCCTCAACATTAATTAATTCTTTTCCACTCAAGCAAACTTTTACTGTGGCCACGGGTGTTTTAGGTTTAGTAAAAAACATTGGCAAGTCCATTACTGTATTATTGCAACAAACACAGATTGTTTATAGTGTATTGATAGTATATTCAATGGACCTGAGCTGGAGGAAGTCTGTGTGAATGAGGAAGTCTGTCATTCTTTTTTTTTTTTCTCTTTTGTTTTTTTTACTTTACAATACTCTAACATACAATACATGTTCATCCATAATCCAAAATTGACTCTTGAAAACGTTTACTCACTTATGCACTCCCACACCTGTATGAATCATTGTCGATACTACTCACTGTAAAATGTGTGTTTTTATTTCCAGAGTGTGATGATAGGGAAAGACTTCAAGTGGGAGACAACCCATCGTGTAAGTCCTTGGTGTTAGAATACTACTGTTGATATTATTATTGAAGTAAGATTATGACATTTTTCCCCACCAGTTGATAATAATGTTCTTCCACCTGGCATCCATATATACCCTTTTCAGTTTCCCATGCAGTAAGTATACTATAACTACTTTGTCTTCTCGAAAATATTATTAAAACCAATAATACTGTAAATGTCATCTCTATTATTTTTGTCAGGCACACACCCTCCTCCTTCCACGCTAACACTGGTAAAATTGTGTATTTACTTGAAGCCAAGTTGAGTCGATCAATGAGGATTCCCAAGAAAGATACGACAAAGCTCAACTATGTGACGCAAGACACCATGGACAACAATCCGGAACTCAGGGTAGGATTTTATATGGACATTCTTCACATTCCAACATCTGCGATGCCAGCCTCGAGCCTCAGCCAATCTCACAGCTCAGCCAATCTCACAGCTCAGCCAGCCTCGAGCCTCAGCCAATCACACAGCTCAGCCAGCCTCGAGCCTCAGCCAATCACACAGCTCAGCCAGCCTCGAGCCTCAGCCAATCACACAGCTCAGCCAGCCTCGAGCCTCAGCCAATCACACAGCTCAGCCAGCGTCGAGCCTCAGCCAATCACACAGCTCAGCCAGCCTCGAGCCTCAGCCAATCACACAGCTCTGCCAGCCTCGAGCCTCAGCCAATCACACAGCTCAGCCAGCCTCGAGCCTCAGCCAATCACACAGCTCTGCCAGCCTCGAGCCTCAGCCAATCACACAGCTCTGCCAGCCTCGAGCCTCAGCCAATCACACAGCTCAGCCAGCCTCGAGCCTCAGCCAATCACACAGCTCAGCCAGCCTCGAGCCTCAGCCAATCACACAGCTCAGCCAGCCTCGAGCCTCAGCCAATCACACAGCTCAGCAGCCTCGAGCCTCAGCCAATCTCACAGCTCAGCCAGCCTCGAGCCTCAGCCAATCTCACAGCTCAGCCAGCCTCGAGCCTCAGCCAATCACACAGCTCAGCCAGCCTCGAGCCTCAGCCAATCACACAGCTCAGCCAGCCCCCCTGCCAACCACTGACAGCAAAGCCGGCAGTTAAAAAGCAGCCACTTGCTACTAACCAGCCCTTCCTGAAGCTCTTGACACCCACCGCCTCCCCAGCACCTCCCCAGCACCTCCTCAGCACCTCCCCAGCACCTCCCCAGCACCTCCTCAGCACCTCCCCAGCACCTCCCCAGCACCTCCCCAGCACCTCCCCAGCACCTCCCCAGCACCTCCCCACCCACCTCCTCAAGCTCCTGCTCTGGCTCCTGCTCCGCCTACTCCCCATTCACACCATGCTTCTAGCCACCACCAGTGCTTGACCCCAGAGGATCTGAGATCATCTCAGCAGCAGTGATCTCCCTTCTGCAAGTGTCACTGCCGGGGTCAATGCGCCAAACAATAAATCTTTCTAAATGCATTAACGTGTCTGTCTTGGTCTCTCCAGATTGAATTGGTTTTATCAATAGTTTTTACAAGCTATTATTTTTGGATCAGCTTTTCCAAACAGAAAAGAGAGTGCAAGCTGATAAGCTCATATATTTATTTCTGTTGGGACAAAAATATATATATATAAAACAGTAATATTTATAGAGGCATGTTTTGTTGAACTGTATAATTTAATTTTCAGGTGCCACAACATGAGACAAAAGACAAGAAACTAAAACTTCTGAACTCCGGTACGGTCTCTATGGATGTAGATATTGATAAAGTCGGGTACTATCAAGGTGAGTTTGACAATTGATTGACATTTTCTGGTTGGCATTCTTTCTTTCTGTCTCAATACTTTTTTTTCAGGGGAGAGCATTCAAGTCTTTGCTACCATTCAAAACAACTCCTCTCGAGATATCCGGCCCAAGTTTTGTCTTTACAGTAAGCAAAGCTTTTTTGCAAGAAGACTTCTCACCAAAGACCTGGTCAAAGAGGTCCAGCAGAAGGTCACCCAGGGGTCAGCATCCCCTCCGACATGGAGCCCTCCATCCATAACTGTGACACCCTCAAAGTGGAGCACAGGCTGAGGGTAAGGGCTTCACCTTCTGCACTATGAACATAGGTTTGTTTGAATTTAGTAAGAACCAAACCATGTTTTTTTTAAAACTTGTTTCCCTTTTATTTAATTCTCTAAAATTGTCTAATTTGAACATGTAAACTTATACAATAGGGTTTACATGCTCAAATATTAGATGGGGGTTAGGAGTAACATATTAGGGTTTGAGTACACTGTGTCATATATCCATTAGTCCTAATGTTTTAATGGCGTAAACTTTGGCATGAAGTGAACCGTGACCATAAATCCAATGGACTAAAATGATAAATGTATTCTGCAGGTCTACCTGGATATTAAATATGCTTCAGACCCAAAAATCAAATTACCCATTGTGATTCTGCGTGCTCAGCCCGTCTGTGGCAATGCTCCACCTCCCGCTGCTTCAGACTTTGGAGTTGGAGCCTATGGAAATGCTCAGCCTCCAATTTATTGCCCCATGCCCTACGCCCCACAAGGACCACAATATATCCCTCCACAGCCAGGGGCCACGACTCCTCTTTCAGCTCCAGCAGTAAACCCCTCGGACCCCCCTCCTCCATATACAGCTTATGGACTGTACCCTACTCTACCACAGCCTTAGCATCATGTTTTGTTTATAACATTATTATCAGTGTTGGGTTAATATGTCTCAAAAGTAACCAGGTTGCATTACCTTGGGATTGTGTATGTGTGTGTATGTGTGTGTATGTGTGTGTATGTGTGTGTATGTGTGTGTATGTGTGTGTATGTGTGTGTATGTGTGTGTATGTGTGTGTATGTGTTCGTTCGTGTGTGTGTATGTGTAATTATACTCCCACTAAATGCAAGATTAAAAACGGATGGTATACAGGCGCAAATTAATATATTTATTAATTAATTATATATATATATATAGATATAGATATATACATGTGTGTGTATGTATGTATGTATGTATATATATACTGTATATATATCAATTAATACATATATTAATTTGCGCCTGTATACCATCCGTTTTTAATCTTGCATTTAGTGGGAGTTATACAATAAAAATGTTGTCCTTCATTTCAAACTAATTTTGAAGTCATATCTTTATTACCTTTATTCTGCTCCATGAGTCAACAATCCATTATGATGATGCCACTAGAAAAGCTTGCGTATGTGCACATGGGACCGACCACATGACTGCTACAAACTGGTGAAGCCAGTTTAGCAGGAAGCTTTTGTTGTTTTTTGAACACATTAAACTTTTACTCTGCAGTCCTGAGCTCGACTGAGGGTGACACAATGACGATCCAGAATTTCTCTATCGAATATGATGCCATCAACAGCAAGAACATCTTTTCAACTGGGGACAACATCAAAGGAAGAATTGTTCTAGAAGTATCGAAGAAGATCCAGGTCCAAGCCCTGATTTTCAGAGCACAGGGACAGGCCAAGGTCTGCTGGAGTGAACAACACGGACAGTACGTACACAGGGTCTACATGTCAAAAGAAAAGTACTACAATGTGGAGCAGCACATCCTGCCAACCAGGCCTCATGGTAAAGTTGAATATCTGCATTAGTTGTTATTCAGGAAGATGAACATATCATTTCTGTATTCTTTATTAAAGGCACTGATGTGATTGGCCCAGGGAAACATGTGTTTCCCTTTTCTTTCAAGATTACTGAAAGGTAAGTTAAAGGAGAAGTATTCCATTTATTCTTAGCTATTAAATTATTTATTTACCTGATCATTTCATGTTTTACAATGTGAAATATAATCTTCAGTAACCTCCCATCAACGTTTAAATCCTCGGTTGGTAAAATCGTGCACAAGTTGAAGGCAGAGCTGAAGCAGTCCATGAAGATGACAAAAACGGCCAAAACGCACATCACATTTGTCTCCCCAGCTGACATGAATATCCCTGGACTTCTGGTAACGTTCATTACTTCACTCAAATCACATAATCACTCCCAAAATTAATGTTGTGTTTTTATAGGAACCTCAGCATGGATCTAAAGATAAAACCATCAGTGCTTTTGGATCCGGAACTGTGGCCATGGACGTCAACATAGAGAGGCTGGGATATTGGCAAGGCAATACTGTTGTGGACTATAACGACCAAAAAATAACATTGATATTTCACTTTTACTCAATCGACAGTCAATACTTCTTACTTCACTATAAATTACAGGAACTGGTACTTTTTTATTCAGTCCATTTTCAACTACAGTTTTTTTTCTTTTGATGAAAATGGATCTGTACAGAAAATTGGATCTGCCCAAACACTATTTTGATAACACAAGAATAAAACAGGAATATTATGCAATCCAACTACCTATTGAGAATTGTAAACAATATTTTGCATTTATGTTCAAATCTGGTCTGAAATCAAGTTTTTTTTTTTTTTGCTTCTGTATTTTTATGTAAAAACATTGAGTGCTTCTTCCACTGCTGAGTTTTAGGTCCACCATTATTGTCTTAATGTTATTTTCATTATATTTATCTAAAAATGGTGGGGCACAAAAAGTTTCAATAAATATATAAAATTAACCAGTTTTGGATGAATTGTATAGGCTTATTTTTATTTTATTTTTTCAGGTGAAGCTCTAAAAGTTACTGTTGAAATCCAAAACCAGTCGTCCCGAATGGTGAAGCCGAAACTGATCTTTTATAAAAAGAAGAGTCATTTCGCCGAGGGTAATAGGAGAATGACCACGTCCGACATTTTAAAGGAAAAGTGTGACCCGGTGGAGTCTGGCTGTAGCAAAACTGTGAGAAAAACCATCACCATCCCCCAGGAACTGCCCTGTTCTATACTGAACTGCAGCATCATCAGGCTGGAGTACCGGCTCAAGGTAAGACACTGAGCATCATCAGGCTGGAGTACCGGCTCAAGGTAAGACACTGAGCATCATCAGGCTGGAGTACCGGCTCAAGGTAACACACTGAGCATCATCAGGCTGGAGTACCGGCTCAAGGTAAGACACTGAGCATCATCAGGCTGGAGTACCGGCTCAAGGTAAGACACTGCAGCATCATCAGGCTGGAGTACTGGCTCAAGGTAAGACACTGAGCATCATCAGGCTGGAGTACCGGCTCAAGGTAAGACACTGAGCATCATCAGGCTGGAGTACCGGCTCAAGGTAACACACTGAGCATCATCAGGCTGGAGTACCGGCTCAAGGTAAGACACTGAGCATCATCAGGCTGGAGTACCGGCTCAAGGTAACACACTGAGCATCATCAGGCTGGAGTACCGGCTCAAGGTAAGACACTGAGCATCATCAGGCTGGAGTACCGGCTCAAGGTAAGACACTGAGCATCATCAGGCTGGAGTACCGGCTCAAGGTAAGACACTGAGCATCATCAGGCTGGAGTACCGGCTCAAGGTAACACACTGATACAGGGCACTTCAACTACAGTTTTTTGAGCACCTGATAAATATTCCTGTAAAGTGGCACGGTCATCAGAATGTTTTTGTGATTTCTACAGTGACGTCATTGTCCTTTTGTTTGTTTTCTATGACTTTTTCATCTAACTTCAACAGTTTGATCACCCACTGTGTCCATGTCTTTGTGTGTGGTTAGGAGACACACACAAAGATAGATAGATTTGTTACTATAAAAAAAAAAAAACTCAAGGTAAAAGTTGACATCAACACTGCATACAACAACAACTAGATTTGAAGGATGGACAGCGCCCAGATTTGGCCCCAGGGCCACAAGTTGCTCTAAAAAAACATGACTATTCTTAAGTATTTGAATGTAAATGTATAAAACACTTTAACCTTATAAACATGTGACTGTCCTGCCTTTACAGATCCTACTGGACATCAAATTTGCGAGTAACCCTGAGATTAAATTACCCATCGTTGTTTTACCTGAAAAAAGCAGCCACATGGCACCTTCAAATAAGTCAAAGGAAGATGAGACTTTGGCCCAACCCACTTCAGGCACAGCGAGCTCTCTCAGCCAGGCCCCGTCTGGGCGTGCCCAGGGCCCGTCTGGGCGTGCCCAGGCCCCGGATGGGCGTGCCCAGGCCCCGGATGGGCGTGCCCAGGGCCCGTCTGGGCGTGCCCAGGCCCCGTCTGGGCGTGCCCAGGCCCCGTCTGGGCGTGCCCAGGCCCCGTCTGGGCGTGCCCAGGCCCCGGCCGGGCGTGCCCAGGCACCGGCCGGGCGTGCCCAGGCCCCGGTGCGGTACCCTCCAGCTGCTGCCTCAGCCTCAGACGACCCTCCTCCCTATGGTGCAGACGCCCTGTACCCATCCTACTCCCACGTGGACCGTCACAGCCTTTTGTAGCCCTCTCTCCTGTTAAAGCAGCATGCTCCTCAACAGCAGCTACAACACCTCTGCTACTGTTCTACTTTTTTTTCCTATTGTTAATAACTTTTAGAATGATGTATTTTACTGTTTGTATGGCTGGATGTGTTTCTGCTGCTGGACACCTGAAATGATCTATTACAGTAAGATTTAACCGTCCATCAGGAGTTACACTCTGCACCAGTTAAAATGATGTTCTTGTGTCGCTGCTCATGTTAATAATCACTGTGGGGGTGACGTCGATGAGTTTTGAGTTACACCAATTCATATATTGTTTTGTGGCTTGTTGTCATTGTAATATTATTTTCATTGTATTACTATTATTGTAAATGATAAAAAGTAAATGTCAATCTGTTTAGACTGAATGTATCACCAGTTGTGAGCCATAAAGGGAAGAGCCGCACTCTGGACTGCTCAAAGACTAATTAACTGTAAACTAATAGTTGATTGAATGCCTGGGTATGTTTCTGTGAGAGCCATAGATTACAAAAGTAGAAATAACAATCACAAACGCAAATAAAGGGACAATATTGATTTAAATATATGGGTCTGGAAAAGCTGTATTGACCATCCCTGGTCCCATTCTGAAATGGTTCCAATAGCCACAGTGTTTATGACAAGGGTCCAAAGTCTAATGTGACACTTTAAGATTGATAGTGTTTTTCTCTTTCTATATCTCCTGCTGCATTAGTGTCTGTATTTGCCTTTTATCTGCTACAAGTTTTTCTCTCACAACATTTGATTGAATCTATATTATATATACATGAGCTTCACTTGAAACTCTTTATACATATAGCGCTACAGTGAGGGTGGCAGAGCGAAGGTGGAGGAAAAATAAAACGACAATCACAAAATGTATAAAAACCAACAGCAAATTTACAACAACACAATCAGGAAAAACAGGAACAATTACTTCTGCAAAACTAATCAGCCAGAACAAAAATAATCCAAAAATCCTCTTTTCAACCATCGACGAATGGAGCGTGTCAGCGACTGGTTGCGTGATCTTGGTCGTGAAAATGTGCCACAAATTAAGGGCAATAAACCACAAGAGGAGGACTTGGGTCCAGAAGACAGTGCCTCTAATGTGGGCCCCGCAAAGTCCAACGTATCAAAGACTCGCTCTCAAACCTCACGCATCTCCACTGTCTCTGTGCGCCTCAGAGCAGAAGCCGATAAAGCTGAATTGTTGGAACGTGTTGAAGCACTAAATAAAAAACATGAAATTGAGGCACAAGAGGAACAATTAAAATTGCAAAGTGAAAAATTAAAAAGACAAAAAGAACAACTTGAACTGGAATCGAAACTTGCTGCTGCAAATGCAAAGCTTTGTGTTTTGGACATTAGCTCTCAATGTGGCTCCAAAGTTTCAAAAATGTCTGACGGTATGAACTGGTATGTCAAAGGGCACAACGTCACCAAAGAGACACTTTTAAATCCACATGCCAATGCATTTGTGCCAGAGACAACTACAACTGCGCATAGTGTGACCACCATCCCAGTTCCAAAGCAAATTCCAAATGTGTCAAATAAAAACTATTCTTGCACAACACAAGTGTTTCCCAATCAACGTGATAGTGTTGAGTTGCCATCGGAAATAAACAATCAATCTTGTGTAATGGACATAATGCAACGACAAAATGAAATCACTGCCATGTTGGTCCAGCAAAACTTCAGTTTTACCACCTCAAAATATTCCATGTTTTGACGGCCACCCTCTTGAATATAAATCGTTCATAAGAGCTTTTGAAAATGGTGTCGAAGCAAAAACTTCAGATCTGACAGACTGTTTGCATTTTCTGGAACAATACACCAGGGGGCAGCCGAGAGACCTTGTCCACAGTTGCCAGCACTTACCTGCAGAACATGGCTACTACAAAGCAAAAGGTCTTCTTGCCGAGCATTTTGGAAATGAACATAAAATTGCACATGCATATATGGAAAAGATTAACAACTGGCCATCAATAAAAGGTGAAGACATCCAAGCAGTACAATCATTCTCTCTGTTCCTAAGAGGATGTTCAAACTTAACAGAACATATCGCTCATATGAAAGAACTTGATTTGCCAACTAATATGAGAAACATCATTCTAAAGTTACCGTATAAATTAAGAGAAAGATGGAGAGGAGTGGCTTGTGATCTTCAAGAAAGGACGAGGACAAAGAGCATTGTTCACAGATCTGGTCCTGTTCATTGAAAAACAGGTCAGAATTGCATCAGATCCACTTTTTGGAAACATCCAAGATCCACAGCACTCTCGACCCAAGAGCTCAAACAGTAGCAATTTAAAGCAAAGAAAAAGGGGAAGTTTTGCCACAAATGTAACTGTAAACAAACTTGCATCAAATGAAAACAAGACTTCTGTAAATGGTTGTTTATTTTGTGCATTAAATAACCATAAGCTGGAAAAATGTTTCAAATTTAAAGAAAAGGCTCACAAGGACAAAGTAAACTTTATTAAAGAAAAGGGACTCTGCTTTGGCTGTCTCAAATCGGGTCACACGAGCAAAGACTGCAGAAATAGAATGAGTGTTCTGTTTGTCACCAAAGACACCCCACTATTATTCATATTGAACGTGAAAAGGCATCCAAGTGCCCCCCACAGCCCATATCTACATCCACAACGACTCAAACCTGTGGGCATATTGGGGCTGGTGACGAAGATCATTCAGTTTTGTCCATTGTTGCCGTGAACGTGAAGAGCCAAAGCACCAGTAAACCAGTGCAGACTTATGCCTTTTTGGATCCAGGCAGCACTGGTACTTTTTGCACAGAAAATCTGTCAAGAAAATTGAATGCTAAAGGAAAAAAGGCTAGTATTCTGCTGCGAACAATAAAACATTGTGAACACAAATATTTTATCTGGACTCAAAGTAGCAGCACTTAATGAAAATGAGTACATTGAGCTCCCTGAAGTGATGACACAAAAAACAATGCCAGTTTCAAAATGCAATGTCCCACAACAAGATGATTTGAGTAAGTGGCCATACCTGCAAAATGTGAAGCTCCATGACATAGATGCTGATGTTGAGTTGCTCATTGGCACTGATGCAGCTAAAGTGATGGAGCCGTGGGAGCTAATCAACAGCCAGGGTAATGGGCCCTATGCTGTTCGGACCCGAGTTGGATGGGTCATTAATGGTCCACTTCGTGGTGACTGCAAAGGTAAAGGTGGCTGTACTACTGTCACTGCTAACAGAATATCTGTGGAGCATCTTGAGAGCATGTTGGTTCAACAATATAACCATGACTTTTATAAAAAAACATCAGACGAGCAAAAGGAAATGTCTCGAGATGACATCAAGTTTATGGACATAATGAGGAGCTCTGCTGCACTAATAGATGGACACTACTGTGTAGATCTGCCTTTTAAAGAGCAAAGGGTCAACTTACCTCGTAACCGATGTATTGCAGAGCAACGTCTCCAAAGTTTGAAAAAGAAATTCAACAATGATGACTCTTTCAAAGAAGAGTATTCTGCTTTTGTAGAGGACATGCTTTGCAATGGATATGCTGAATTGGTCTCAGATGACCACATGGACAATAATGAAGAAGTTTGGTATATTCCACACCATGGTGTTTATCACCCCAGGAAAAACAAGCTCAGGGTTGTTTTTGATTGTGCTGTGACATACAAAGGGACCTCGCTAAACAGCCAGCTTCTTCAGGGGCCTGATCTCACAAATTCTGTGGTGGGAGTTTTGCTGCGATTCAGAAAGGAGCCCATAGCTGTCATGGCAGACATCAAAGCCATGTACCATCAGGTCCATGTCCCAGAGCACCAAAGACACTACCTATGCTTCCTCTGGTGGCCAAGGGGCGACACTTCACTTGAGCCAAGAGTATATCAAATGAAAGTTCATCTGTTTGGAGCTGTCTCTTCACCAAGTTGTGCAAATTATGCTTTAAGAAAAACTGCCGAAGACAATATCTCTTATTTTCCACCTGAAGTTATTGACGCTATTAAACATAATGTGGATGATTTATTAAAATCTCTTCCTACAAATGAAGAGGCTATAAAAATGGTTCAAGATTTGACAGCTCTCTGCAGTAAAGGTGCTACACAATATTTTGGACAACAACAAAACAAAGGAAATATTGGAAATGGACTTGGATGGAGATGAGCTCCCAGTAGAGCGGGCACTGGGGCTTCAGTGGTGCACTCAAAGTGACCTGTATGACCCACTGGGCTTTCTTGCCCCATTTACAGTCACTGCTTAGCTGCTGTTACAAGAACTGTGTAGAAGAAGATTGGGCTGGGATGATATTGTTCTCCCACACTTTTCCAAACAGTGGTCTGGCTGGCGACAAGATCTAAAGAGAATGGCAGAGTTTAGAGTGCCTCGATGTATCAAGCCCATAGACTTTGATCCAGTCACGGTGCAGCTTCATCACTTTTCTGATGCCAGCCAAGTAGGATACGGCACAGTGTCCTATTTAAGACTACAGAGTAACCATCATGTCCACCTCTCATTTCTCTTAGGCAAGGCCAGAGTGGCTCCTCTCAAACAGACCACCATTCCTCGTCTAGAACTCACAGCCGCTGTCCTCGCAGTTCACATGGATCAAATGCTTCAAAAAGAATTACATCTCAAATTGGAGAAATCTGTTTTTTGGACTGACAGCACAACTGTCCTTAAATACATCTGCAATGAAACTAAAAGATTTCATACTTTTGTCGCAAACAGAGTTTCACTCATCCGAGAAGCTACTCATGTCGATCAGTGGAGATATGTGAGTACCAAAGACAACCCAGCTGACGAGGCATCAAGAGGGACGAGAGCGGAAGACTTTATGAACAACAGCAGATGGATTCTTGGCCCTCAGTTTCTGAAGGAGCTCAAGGATAAGTGGCCAAAGTTGGATTCAAACCACAATCCTATCCCTGCAGATGACCCGGAAGTGACAAAGGATGTGTGTGTTAATGCTCTGGTGGAAGGGCCAAAAAGTCCCATGTTCTTCCTCACACACTTTTCAT